GAGAGAGAGAGAGAGGGGGGGGGGAGAGGGAGAGAGAGGAAGGGAGAGAGAGATTGAGGAAAACAATAATTGGTAGAACTGCTGTTGATGGTTGGCATCACATCCACATCTCTTCATTTCTACTATTCGTCATTGATACTATATTACTGTCTATAATATTTTGTTATATAATGCGCATCATGAAGCAACGATAAGTGAACTCTTTTATAGCATAGAGGTCGTAAATATTTCGTATGGATTAATAAAAATTCACATTTTAATAGAAAAAAACTTGGCAATCGAGTTAGTCAATTATTTACGAACCCCGCCATTTGTCAATCGATTTTCTTTTTTGAGTTCAGATTTATTTTCTTGATTTTGAAAGAGAATGGTGCAAGACCCAATATAAATCCAATATAAACCCAATATAAATCATGGTACTGTAAGTAGGGGACATTCGTTTTGGATCCTCGCCAAATATTTTACATTGTCAAAGCAATGATTCCGTTGATATAATATTATCGATCCATCCTAGGTGAAGCTATATATTTCCGTACTCACTTGAGAAACAGAGATTTTCCCGCTGAAGAAATCCATATAGCGATCATAGGCAGAGCTAGATTGCTGACGTGCGAAATTGTGTGAAGTTCTTCACGAAAAAAAATAAATTTTATTTTTTCAATTGTTTGTCGATGTCATTTTAAGGCTCTTGGCCCCTCGCATTGTCTATCTCTTTTTAATGACATCAGAAGCGAGGAAATGCATGCTAAAACTTTTTGCGAAATACGTTGCAATAAAAATATATATCCATAAAGTAACATTTGCAATAGATTAAAGAAATTTGTAAGATATTCCGTGTACTCCCCTTTTGCTCTAACAATCAATAATTTGTCGTAAATTAACATGACATACAATTCATCTTTTTAACCTATTTCTTCGCTTATTTCTATTTAGGTTAATTTATAATAAATTATTGATTGTTAGAGCAAAAGGGGAGTGCACGGAATATCTTACAAATTTGTTTAATCGATTGCAAGTATTACTTTATAAATATATATTTTTATTTCAACGTATTTCGCAAGAATTTTTAGCATGAATTTTCTGACGTCATTAAAAAAAGATAATGCAAGGGGCCAAGAACCTTAAAAGGTTGGTGCTTTTATTTTCATTATTGTGGTTATAAAATTCTTTATTAAATTTTGTAATTGGGGCCACATGTGCAAAGATGATTGTATATAATTATATATATATATATATGCGTATATTCGCAAAAATTCTCTCGATGGTCAATTATATTCGCACCACAATACTTTTCATCAGGAGCATCTTTTAAGACTATTTTACGAAGAAAAAAAATTATATTCGAATTAAGTTATAAAGAGTTAATTTCGTCTACACACACAATTGTTTCGAATAATGGGGGGATCGCAATAAATAATTAGTAAAACGATATATAGAATACAACGATTTATTACATCAATAAGAGATATGTACACTTTTGTAAAATCGTACTTTCAGAAAGCAGCTTCGGAAGTCCATTGATTTCTTATCAAGCGGTATGTTTGTCTATATACATATACATACGCGTATATGTATATTATATACATTGTCTTTCGCATTGTTGCTATTCTATGTTACCGCTAACAATTATCGAAAAATTTGAGAAATTAAAGTACAGACGGAAATCGAAAAATAAGTATTTCTGTACTCAATTCTCTTATATATTCTTTTCTCGCATATAGGTTTTTATTCTTAATATAATGTAGTTTTGACATTGTAAAATTATATAAACCAAATACGCAGTAGAGTAGAAAAGTGATCTGCGTTTCGTTTGAAAGTTTATAGTTACGACTTTATTTGACTGGAAATTCTATAATTTCTAATTTACAAAATACCACGACGTAACATGAAATTAGACACATTTTCATCCGCAATTGATTAAATCTATTTAGACTTGTAGTTTTCAGATATGTGGATTTTGTGTACAGGTGTGTCTTTCGAAAATTGCACGATAAATGCTATCGACACGCTGTTATATACTCGTTATCGAAATCTAATAGTCTAATAACTTCTTATCACATCGAAAGCCCTGAAAAAATTTACTCTCACATTTACCCTATGCGTTATGATTTATTCCAAAAAAGTCTCTATACGTCTGATTGTTACTTTGATTTTACAATTGTACCGCTTCGATAATCAATCGTTTCTGTACTAACTGTATTCACGTTTCTACAAGTTACCGCGTGGCACATAAGACATTTCTATATAAAATAAATCGCGAGAGTAAATGGAATTGTGATAAACTCGAGTCGTCTATAAATTAAGATTAGAGTTGCTCACACACAGGACGGTTTAGTTTCGTACGTATATAATTGTTTAGTATCTCGCTCTTCAAATACTTTTCTTCGCGTCGTTCTTATATATTTTGAATTTTCGAAATTTGTCTCGGTGTCGTCACCGTGAGTGAGATCGCTTATCCGACAATGATATGATAGGGTGTGATTTATTTTGTGGAAATTTTACTCCAATTGAGTTTCATCTTATAATTTCTCTTTTCTTCTTTGACCAGATATTCGTGTTATCATATTAAATGCGCAGAATAGCATGAGGTCTATATACTTTGATTATTTATTATTTCTCAGCATACTAAATTTCAATTAATCGCTAATTTCGAATTTAAAAGTTGGTAAGGTAAATTGTTCCAATGACTGTACTAATAAGAAAGTGCGATCAGTTTTATCAATACATAATTAATGGCATTTTTATCAATAAATAATTAATGGAATTACTAACAAAAATAATGTTTATATAAAACTTTGGTTTGTTTGAAAAATAATAGAAAGATAAAATACACAATCTATAAATACTGATTATAATTTTAATAAGATATTAGACAGTGCCGGTTGTGTCAATAATCGAACTGGAAAATGGATCATGTCCTAATTACCCAATAATATAAACTCAATGATTGAATACTTATTTAACAATATATTATACACATTGTCATATATGTAAAGAAATATCTTTTAATAAAATTTCAAAGATTTTCCTTTAGAAATATTAAATTCAAATATATCAATGTTTCATTTACATTGGGACATACTCGATTTACATTTACTTCAATAATTTACTTTTGTCTAAAGGTCAAATATTTATCATGATATTATTACATTTAAAAGTTAAATATCCATCGTGACATCGTTTCTATGTTCACGTGGATTTTCCTTGGACGTGATTCTCATCTCATGGAACCGTCTGTAATTTGTTTTCAACGACAGTGAATCTTTTGTTGAGTCTATTAGACTGTGCAGGCTTGAAGGTTTTTGGTTAAGAAATTGTACTGATTTACACAATGTATGAGCTTCGTTGAATCACGTTTCTGATCCTGATTTCGTGATTTTGCAAAGATTTCGATAATGTGTGTGCGCATACGCTTCGAATCAACGGTGACTACTTCTGCATCGTAAATTATAATCGTTGTTTGTGTCACCAAAAACTGCGGAACACTGTCCATCATTGGTATAAAAGGTAAGTGTGAATTATATATGAGATCCATACGTGATTTTGAGTGATCGTCGTGTTTGGCATTCGTCAATCTTCTGAGAATTTTTCATACTATTATATAGAAAGTTTACAATAGTAACAGAACTATTACGATATACGTTACAACATCCGTTAAATCCTCGTGTATATACATACACACATGTGAATAAGTCGAGTTTGGCATTCTCGTGGATATTCACGCGATAGAGCACTTATGACATCGTCGGCTCTTCGATTTTGCCTTGTTGGCATTTTCCTGCTCCATCTGCTTGCGAACGGAATCTGCGAGAAGAAATGCCATTTTTATTTTTTACAAAATATATTAAAATTGACAATTCATTTATTCTTGTTATGTACGATTAAATAAGATTCTCTCTCGTTATTATCATATGATAAATATAAAATTAAAATAAAGTATATATTATTCTTCGCTTTCGTGCTTTTTCGTGCCGTTCGAATTGTTATTTTAGCAAGTATATGCAAAAGACCATTGATATAATGTAATCATAACGATATTTAGTAATATGTATTATAGTATTTTCAAATATGCAGTTTTCAATGCCGTGTGTACATGATTGCGAAAAATACCTCGAGTAATGTTCTAAGCATATTTTTCGAATATTTGGAAAGATACACGTGATTTAATATATTTTTAAAATATTTATAAAAAGTCATACTCAAATAATGCATATGAAACCAACGTTTCAAAATCCCGATATAATATCCTTTGCTTACTGCGAGCGCACCAGCAGAGCGACGATTATTTTGAGTCGTAGAAAGATAATGATCAGCTATAAACGTTAAAAGAAGAATTACCGGCAATCGCTTTCTTGTCTACCGCTGACAAAGCTTCGCAGAGCTCTTTCACCAGTGGCACGTCGGGGTTTAATCCGGAAGCCCAGATGAGTAACATTCGAAATCCGTGCTCTTTGTAGCTCGAAGGACCTACAATTGGAGCTTTATCGTCCTTTTCATAAGGCTGCCCTAAGTGCACTATAGGAACATCGAGGTACAAATTGCATTCATAAATTGAGATTAATTAAGATAGTTGTATCGTGAAACCAGTCTCGTGTGTGTAAAAATTTAATGAAACTTGTGTTACGTCCCGTAGGGCCTCACGTACCTTACATTGCGTAAAGACCGATTACTTATCCGACCGTTACAAAAGTCAAGTACACGAAAAGAACACGTGGATCTCGAGCCTTACGAAAGAACCGTGAATTACACCACCTACAATTACGCATGCCCATATATGGCCTGATCGAACATTTCCCGAATTTCTATTTTTTCCCACCAATCCGAGCCTCATCCTCGTTACCAAGCAAGACATCTCCAATGAATCCGGTAACCGCCATCCCCGAAATTTCCCATTTTCCGAAATTATAAAAGTCCGATCCGTATGACTTCTGTCGCCTTTTTTTTCCTCACTTACTGCCATTACGACGTCCACGAGTACCACGTCTGTGTTCATTCACTTACTGTCATTACGACGTCTACGAGGATCTTTCAAGGATCAGAATCGAAGGAAGCAACTAACTCAGGAGATCCAGAACCATTCATTTCTCTCCTCGCACATACTAACAGTGAGTTATTGTTTTATTATCCGGTCTTCCGCGTCTCGATTTCGAATAAGTCCGGACAGACATATCTTTACCTTGTCGAAAGCTCAATCGCAATAATTCCGGTGAATATTAATTAACGGCAGAATTTCCAAAAATCGGCTTGTCCCTTCTTAGTTGTAGTGGGACGCCGGTCTTGCTAACAACGGAGTGATCTGCGCGACGCTCTCGAAACGCTGGAGCTTCTACCTTCCTTCTCGAACGTCCTTTCGCGCAGAATATTCGAGCGGATAACCCGCAGAGCGTTGTCCCAATATTTAGAACTAGAAAATCTACCCCCTTCCCTCTTCACTTACAGCCATTCCCTCTAGATTCGCATTCTCGTCTACCATCTCCACCTCCTCCTCCATCTTTCTCTATAAATTATTCTCCACCCCCCTCACCTCCCGACGATCCTGAACATTAATGCTCATCTTCAACCCATACCCTCAACACACACTCACTCACACACACACACCACCACGATTGTAACTATAAATAAATTGAATTTTATTCCTTTGTTAAGAAACATTAATTTCTTTGTTTACCCGTCCTCTCCTGTTATCGCTCAAGGTCCAGTCCCGAGTAAAGAGATTCAGTTCTTTGACTCAAAATCGGACCGCTCGCCGTACGTCGTAGGGCTAGTAAAGTGACCCTTCTGACCCTTCTAGTCGTTGACTAGCTCTTCGACCTTTAAGTACAGGTGAGGCTTTCTCTATGTTGCGTTCTCCTACAGGACGTAACACTTGCATTATATACATGGTGTCTCATACTCTCCTCCGGGCATTTTGTGGGGACGTAGAATGGGTTGATGTGAACATAAAAGTCCTATTGTACCTAAAGTACCGTTTTGCGATATTCGCAATAATTATCGAGATATTAATTGTAGAAAATTTGTAAATGATCATGCAGAATATGGTAAATGAGTTATGATAGCGACGACTGCCGTCCTGTACTTATACTTTAGGTCAAATTGAACAAAAAAGTCCTCTACCATTTTCCAAATAATCACATAGATTTTTAATTATTAATTAAAGAAGATTATTGCACGATTTTGCGTGATAATGCACTCATCTTCTTTAATTAATACACAGTGAAATATTATCTAACTGCTCGTGCACAATTAGAAAAGCATTGACTTATCCTCTTTTATTATATATACCTCTTTTTATACCTTTTTGTATTATCTATACACTTTTATAGAGATAAACTGATGAATAGAAGACAGAATAATCAACAGTCACGATCCTTACAAACGAATGTGCCGAAAATGTTTAGTAACTGTCGATTAGGACATGGCTAGGAAATGATTAGGCATATATGCAATTCTCTATACATCATCTCGTGCAATGTGTATTCACTGTTATCTTTCGGCTCGTTACTCTATCGTTCCTCATATCCAAGTTTTACATTTTTCTCTTTTTATAATAATAATAAGACGGGTTCTTTTGTACCTCGATGGCGTTATATCAACTTTTTGCGCAATTCTGGATATTTAGCGACTGACGACGACTGACCACGATACATAATGCCGATTTACCCGTATACTGATGCTCAATAGCTCTGATTTGATCGTTGGTGAAGGCCCAGTGGAGAGCTAATTTCTTCCAATCGTCAGGTGCCAACTGTTTATAGGCCAGCTTCCAGAGAACGGATCGTACATGCTCGGATAGGCCGCTATTGTTGCTGGAAACGCTACCGCCGCGCGAGCCTTCTCTCCATCGTCTTCGCGCTGGGGTTAACTCTCGTGCCTCCTTGTCGGAGTTTGAAATCTCCTAAGATTTCCAAGTATTCGGTCACATACACTCCGTCTGATTTTAACTTATATGACATATTTGTTTCCTCACACAAAATTTCCATTTTTCGAGAGAATTTCTATGAATGAGGAGAGATCTGTTTTAAATCACGTCATTTGACACACGTTTAAGAGATGTATAAATTATAATTTAAATGTAATATTAATCTAAATTTATAGATTAATAATATATACATATATTAATAATATGTATATATTAATTTAAATGTATATATTAATTATAATTTAATATGTTTAAATTTGCTAAATAACGTGACTTAAAACGATAAGAAACATGCACGGAGAAAAATAATTTGCTGGCCCAGCAAATTTTCTGCTGGTCCAGCAAAATCTTTTCGTTATTATATGGACAGCAAAAAGATTTGCTAAAAGTACTAATCATAACTAATATTTGCTGGATACAACTTGCTAAATCTACAAATTATTTTGCTATAAGAACCATGATGGATTTATATAAGCAGTTGCAGTTTTGCTCCGATAGCAAATAAATTTGCTAAGGACATTATTTTGCATCAATAGCAAATTAACATGATTCTTAGGACAAATACACTCAACAAATTTTTTCTATCCTGGCAACGAAACTACTCCTGCTCTGATAACGAATAATTTGTAAAATTAGTTACGTCAACTAAATTTTTTTGATGTCACTACGAATATACAGCAGCAACGGCGATTTGCTAAAAGAACAAAATTATTTTTCTCCGCGTGTAAAATGAGATTCAGTCAAAATGATACACTTGGATCAGCAGTGCGAGAGCTTTTAATTTCGACGAGTTTCGGATATATTACGAAGTAATAAAAAATAAGAGATACGTATCTTTTTTGATGCTTTTTTTCACATGTTTAGAAAGCAATCCCATTCAATTTCACATATTTTTTTGTTACGAGCGGATATCTTTAAATCTGTAAGATAAGGGGAGACCGGGACTAGTTGTGTACCGAGGTAAGTTGGTAAAATCGATTATTTCCACTGTTTTTTTAACATATTTTAGAATTAAGCAAGCAGGGATTTCAAAGCTATTTTTTACATGTTCAAAAATCTTGCTTGCTTAATTTTGTAACTTATTAGAAAAAAGCAGAAATAATCGGTTTTGTCAACTTATCTCGATATTCAACTAGCCACGGTCTCCTCTATGTGGAAAAAGATAAGAACAACAATTTTGCGGTGTTTAATGTATTTTATAGTTGTGTGTATTTAGATTTTTTCAGTAATTTTTTTAAGTAATAAAAAATATAATAAATAAAAGTAATAGTAAAAAGATAATGAGTATATGATAAAGTAATAAAAAAAGGTATTTTCCAAATGTATACAAGATACTCACCAGGGTCGGATAATCCAGTCTTGCAGTTTTAATGATCATGTCGACAATGGCCGTGAAACTGCCCCTCGCCGCTATGTAAAGTGGTGTCCGGCCGCTCTGCAAACGTTAGAATAACTTCGGTTTAACTTCATTATCGAGTTTACGACGGCCATCAGCCCTATCCTGTTAACGCCTCTATCCCGTTAACCGCAATGTGTGAGATTAAGGCGTTCGGGTTTGAATTTTTTGCGCGTCAATACTCTATGACGGCGTGACATCGTCGACAGAATCGAACCGTGTCATGTAACCGCAACTGCGATCTTTCGTCTGATGTGATAATCGAGATAATTAGGTGCCACATTATCGGGAGCTGCGTCATGAGATTAAAGCGGTACTTTTAACGATAAAAACGGAAAAAGGATATATATATTTTTTATCTCTTATTAAACTTGAATAAATTTTATTTGTCGAGACTTAATATTATCCGTTGAATTGCACGTATGTTGAAGTTTAAACGCTTTAACAACTATTCACTTGCAAATAATCACTCAGTTTCAACTTGTCCATTTTGCTATGGATACTTCTATTTATTTCATTGAATTTTTTTATAGTTGCAATAGCGTTCACGAATGTTTCTAATTTTATGCGTTCTTGTGAAACAAGATTAATTCCTAAGGATAAATTTCTTACCGCGGCCATCTTGATTTATGGCGTTAGAAGCGAAAAATGCACGTTACAAATTCTTGCAAAATACAGTGATTGAAATAAAGTGATCAGAGTAATATTTGCAATCGATCGAGCAGACCCGCAAAATAATTCGAGCATTTATTTATTGTTACATACATAAGCTGAATTCGACGCAATTATTTTAGCCATTGATAACAACACGCGATCATTATTTTGTTTTTAATCGCTTTGATTCCCTCAGATATTTAATTAGTTTCCCTTTTTAATTAAACCTTTCCCTTTAATTAACCGGTGTCGCGCACTTGGAACTTCTTTTACGTCGCGAACATTACAAGTTTGTTCATATTGCAAGTGGGACTGAATAAATAACTTTTAAACAAGCTTTAATTACTTATTAAATAACTCGGGCTTAATTATGTCGTAATTAGATGAGTAGAAGAGCGCGGGCTTGAAGTTCATGATAAAATAATTTGTTTGTATATCGAAGTACTACCGGAACATTAGTAGAGTAGTCACGAATAAATTACACCGGATAACTTGTTTGGAATAGAAATAGATTTTTTGAATTTAAATCGTGAAAGGATGATGCGGTGATATCATATTCGATCTCTGAATTGTTTACCATGCTACCATTTTTACTATTTACCTGTTCTTTCTGCTCGATATTCGCACCTGCTGCAAGAAGTAATTCGCAGATGTCCGTGTGTCCCATTTCGGCCGCGATATGAATAGGCGATTGTAGTCTCTAAAACGAGTCGATTCAAAATGTGAGAATTTCATCAGCAATTTCATTGCAAATTTTCCAATGTGTCCCTCGAGTATCAACAGGCGAATGTTTTGATGGCAAATGCATTACGCAAAATTCTAATTTCATCCTGGAAATTGATACACGTAGCTTTTTTCTTGTATGTATGTGTGTGTGTATGTGTGTATAATCTGTCATATATAGTTATATCGGTGAAGATTACGACTGTATATGAATTACGACACACATATGAATTATACATTTTACGTACCAAATTCAAACAATTAAGATCAACACCTTTGTTAATTAATATTTCTACCGTGTCTACTTCGTTGTTCTGACAGGCCAGATGTAGAGATGTATTGCCGTTCTGCAAGTAGAACATTAAAGAAAGTCGATATAACTTATCCAATTGCTTGTACGCACGATTAATTTGGTACACTAGAGTCATTTTCGATTTTTATTTTTATATTACCCGCAAACTAGTAGAATGATAACTTTTGCTAAAAAAGTTATAACTGGTGGTAATATAAAGTTTAAACATTGTTGAGTTGTTTCAATTGCCTATCATATAACGAAAAACCAAAGTTGCTGTAGATTCATTTTTTACCCCAGTGTATCAGATTAAGGTGTTTATTTTGCATTTTTATAGGAATATTCTATATTTTTTTAAATATAAAATGAAGGCGATTTTTTTATTATATATTTCAGTTATTTACATTAAATATATAAGAAAAATGTTATGTAATTAACTCATTTATTTTTTTTTACTATATTATACTTGGTTGAACTTTCTGTACCGTTAAATTTTAATCACGAATAAAGAATAAAAGATTGAGATATACATTGCTTGTTAATTTTTCTAACAATTTTAATAAAATCTGTATTTATAATAGATTAATATCGCAAAAACTTGAAACTATCAGTGATTTTATTCGCCTTTTGACTGAAAAAATAATGTATTTTCGTATATCTAATTGATAATTATACCTTTGGACAAATGGAAATATGCAATATTTTTCTCTTAAAAGTTTAAATATTGACAAGAAAATCCCAGAATGTTAATCTCATAAATTCATTTTCAGGAAAATTACACATTTTTTATATACATTAACGTTTTCATCGCGTTTTTTTTTTTATAATTTGTAATAAAATGAAACACTTCAGTGAATATTCTCGATCATTTCTGTACATAATTCTGTTCTACAGACTTATTTATTTTATAGATGTTTATTAGTACTTTCACGGAATATAAATAAATGAGAACGAACAGATTAAAGTGCTCAAAATATATGTGCCATATGAGAATTAACGCATTGATGAAATGCTGATAGTGACTGTTATAAGTCTCGACACTTATTATATTTTCCGAGGTATATATAAAACACATACCTTGCATTGCTTGTTAAGATCAGCCCCGTGCTGAATCATTGAGTCAAGTATTCCTTTACATCCTTGACTCGCGGCAACATGAAGAGGAGTGAAGCCCACCTGAAGATAGTCGATATAGATTATTCCTATAGGAGACGGGCATCGATTATTCTAATGAAATTTTATTTTAGTTTCTTCTTATCAATATAACAATTACTTATATCGAGTTCAGAAGCCGGATTCAAAACCGAGTATCATTTCGCACAATCCTATTTGTGTATCCAACATGACTAAAAGATATTTTTTCTTTTTAACATCATCGATTTTTCTTACTACAATACATCACTGTCATGAGATAAAGAAATACCGAATAAGTATGGGTTATAGGATTTGCTTGATATGCTTCTATTTGCTTGTCGCAAAATGATCGTAATGTCACAAAATTATTCGATTTACCGCATCGGTGAGTTCGGTGTTCGCTCGAGCCTTTAGTAACAATTGCGCGATTCCTGTGTGCCTGGTTCTGGTGGCTACGTGAAGGGGTGTATTACCGTCGTTATCCTGGGCATCTACGTTCGCGCCTAATCCTATAAGGACTTCGACAGCTTCCAGATGCTCATGGGCGCAGGCACAGTGCATCGGTGTTTGTCCCTTCTGGAAAACAATCCAAATTCATTGCGATAATTGACATGAAGATGGACTCGTCCGGTAACTATTTCATTAGCCTCGCGTTACGTCATCGTCGTAGTTGTTCTAATTGGTACTATGCCCTTAAAAAGAAATATATAATCTCATTCTTAGGAAAATCTTTTTATATTCTTTTATGAGGCCTCAAGAGGATTCTTCCAAAAGAAAAATATTTATATGTACATCTTTATTTATATGTACCGCGTTTTTTAAATATTTATTTAAAATATGTTTTAACGGAATATTTTATGTTAAATATGAATATATTTAACGGAATTCCGTAAAATTAAGATATCCACTTGAAATATTAAATTTGGTTTCCGCCGGGTTTGAGCCGCGTGAATTCTTCTTTGTTTGATTTCGACGTTTCGCGAACACTATTTCGTTCAGAATCAAACAAAGAAGCGTGGCTTAAATCAAATCTTACATTCATGGACACCGCGAAAACCTTATACCAAATCCATTTGAAATATTTGGAAAATTAAGAAAGATATGAAAAATACGTGGACATTAGAACGCGCGGACGCCCAGAGAATGAAAAAGGATACGCGGCTAAATCGAATGAAGAAGTAAAGGTATTTGGAAGAGTTTGTTTACGGAGACTTCCGTAAAACCTACTCGACGGAGCCCGCGGCCGAGCTCCGATCGTTGAGACTTCTCCGGGGATTGTCCTGCTGATGAAGAGGAGAAGGAGAAGAGGACAGCAGCCTTGCGCGCTGGAGACCCACTTTTCATGATCTAAATTGAGAGATAGAGAAAAATAGAAAAAAGGATGTCTACGTCAATCCACCTGAAAGCATATACAGTTACACACGTGGAAATCCTAATTCGCCAGTAGTTCTTTTTATCTTTCCTGCTGTTCTGACCTCGTTGGATAAACGTTCGATTGTTCCAGTCGATAAATTATAAACTCCCCCCTTTTTGTCTTCGGTCGTTCTGCAATCGATAGCGCTGCACCATAGAGGAGTCGCCGTGCTGTTATTCCCGAACAATCGTTGATGTGTTTTCGCTGTTTCGGGTCACGACATGTATATATGTGTGTGTTCGTTCCACGAGGGATATAAACGGGATGCTGGTCGTATACCATATTTAATATATTGCGCTATGAATTATACTGAGAAGCAGATAAAGCTCATGTTTTAGATCAAGACAGCTTGATCGTTAAAACTTCTGGCTTGTTGCGGTCATCTTGAGATATAACGTCAGAAAAAATACATGCTAAAAGTTCTTGCAAAATACGTAGAAATAAAAATATATATTCATAAAATGACGATCGGGTAGATGTGTAAAATAATTCGAACACTTTTGTTCCGACAATCAACAAATAACTGCAAAATTAACGTGACGAAATCATGAGGAAATGTAGATTAGAAGGTAGGTTGCGTCATGTTAGTTTCGCGGTAATTTATTGATTGTTAGAGCAAAAGGAAAACGTTTGGATTATTTTACAGATGTGCCTGATCGATTGCACGTGTCATTTAATGAATATATCTTTTAATTTCAACTTATTTTGCAAGAATTTTTATTTGGCATTTTCTCGCCTTTGGTATTATCAATCGAAAGTTCCGCGATGAGAAGTCAGGAAGCTTGAGGCTCCTGGATATTTTTCATGTTGGATCGTGACGTCAGAAACGAGAAATAACACGTTGAAAATTCTTGTGTGCCATTTTCATGTAAAAAGATATTTGGGTAAAAGAATACTTGAGCATATTAATGCGAGAAAAATAATTTTGTTAATGTAACTGAATATTTTATTATTTAGGGACCAGATGAAACACTCGTAACGGTTGTAGAAACATTTGAGATTTCTGAATACAAAATGCTCTGAAAATTATCCTTTTTCCTTGATAATCAATAGTCGTCAAAATCATGGGAAAAGGTTTTGAAGGGGAAGGTTAATTTAAATTAATTTTTTACGGCTATTTGCTATTGACTATCAAGAAAAAGGATTGTTTTGGAAATATTTTACAAGTATGTTCAAGTGATCTTGAGTATTCTTCCATATCCACTTATTTAAAAATGAGGTGCAAAATTTTTAGGCATGTGTTTTCTGTCGTCATCAATTAAGAGTTTTACAGTGAGAGACCAGGAGCCTTAATTCGCGCTGTTGTGCGATAGAAGTACCTTCAAGTAAAATATGCCGAGTGAGATTATCACGCGATAAAAAGCGAACCAATTTGCACCATCAGTTCTCTTTTTAGAATTCTCTCAATATTTTTGTATTGTTTCGTTACACTCAAGATTGATCCGTCGATCCGTGTATTACCTATCATTTTTATTGTTTTCCAAACTGTTTACACCGGGGAGCGGAATTCAAGTCACAATGCCTGAAGTGTGAATATTTCGAAATATTAGTATTTCACTTTTTATTAGTTTCCCATTACATACAAATAACACTGCGGAAAAACTTTCGATAAAGTCAAACATGTGTTGTAACTCTACGGTTTACAAAGGACCTCCGCCCGGAGCCAATATGGCGCTATCCCCGCGGGATAAACGCGTTTGTAGAGACATGTGTATATTTCACGTATTCGGAGTATGTATTGAGACGCAGCTTGTGAAACGTCTCAGGGAGTATCTGCGTCACGTCAACGCTGATCTCGAATTGTTGACAGATGCTTATCGCGGCTCTCTAGCAACAAAGGACGCTATCTGAGACCTATATTGATTGGAAATATTGAAAGTAAAGAAACTCTTCTACGCGCTTTCATGCGGATTGGCTGAAAGAGTTATGCCGCTGATAACCTAAAGCCGCTTGTGGAAGTTCCCTTCATTCTTAATTGATTTCAAAAAAAGATTCTCATTGATTGTTCTGTATTTGTTTGTTTATATGCCCTCTCATAATTCGAGAACTGTTAGACATATTGAGATAAAACTTTTCATAACTTGTTCAGTATGTTATCTTTATAGTTCTTAGATTAATGTTATTACTGGGGTTTGTCCAGGTAACCTAAAAGTTGGGTCATTTCATTATTTTCTTGGAAAATCGGGGAAAATTGAGAAAATCTAGAGATACAAGACAAAATTTTTACTTTTAACCGACGTCAAAAACTTCAAAAACATACTTTTAGTAAGTAATTGTAGGGAAATTAATAAAAAAACGGATATGATTATTAACTCAGTCAGTAAGGTATTTGCATTAACTTTTAATATCATTAGAATATTAGAATAGAATTATGTATGTACATAAAAATATTGATTCAAAATGATTTCATACATTTTGAATTACTTTTAGGGTTTTTAAAGGCAATTCATTTTTCTCGTTTATATAGAGAGAAATAAGTATATGCAGTTACATACACATGACACAAAGAGATTCGAAGTTTTTTATCTTGGCAAAATCCGACACACTGACTTTTCGTGAGTGGTAGTGTATTATGTAGTGAAGTATTATGTGCACGATATGAAAATGGTACTTTATGCTAATATGCTAATTGATTAAGTGCAAGATAGAATATAAATTCACATTACTCGTAATTGATTCGTAGTGAAATCGTATTCGTAATGATTCGTATTGATACTGACATTATTTAATAATTTGCTCAATATAATTTATGCGCGTAATCTTATTCTCTACTTGCAACATGATATGCGGTTATAATTACATTAAAAATGCTCATTGAATATACGAATATTTTTCTGGAGAAGTGTAAATTATTTTTAGAAACAAAGAGAAGGCAGCGGGTCGTAAAATAATTCTGGAAAATATCATTCTGTCCAATTAGCCAGTGTTTCGTACGAAAGACAGAAGATATACAATCATGCATAAGTTAAGTATGCAAATATTTGGCGAGAGAACCAATTAATAATTTATGAGAGCGAACTGTGCATGGTTATGACTGCACGAATAAATTTTCCGCGAGTTTACGTGGAAGTGGTCGGTTTATGATTGGCGGTGCTACTCGCTGGTATGTCTGAGTGAAGTTCGGCCAACGAAGATGCTAATGAACGGACGGATGAACTGATATCTCTTGAGAGAAAGAGAGAGAGAGAGAGATGTATATAAATAAATAAAAAAAAAATATATATGTACTGAATCGCAAGCAAAATAGTGGGAATCAAATTTCCGGGTATGGGATATCTCATTGCGACCCGAAATTTGAGAACCTGAGGTCGAAGCACGACCATATTGTGCGAGAAGCCATCGGCAAATTTTGGAATACATATAATGCCATATATTGATAAAGTTGTTGTAACAAGATGAATCTAACATATTGTTTATATCATACTATTTTTGATACCATACATATATTACCTACAGATAATATATGATAGGTAGACCTACAGGTTTGTAAAAAAGTACATTTATACCCTTCAGTTTTGAATGAAAATATTCACTGTATATATCTAAATTTCTATTCTAACACATTTCTAACTATCTTAATTTCTTATATGTAGACTGACCACCGAGTCACTTGAATTTGAGTGACTTTTCATTCACACAAAGTAAATCCTCCATATATTTTATTCAGTTTAATGAAAATTATCTATTAAGTTATATCTTGAATTTTTTCTTTACTGTTTAAATGTCTGAATTTTCACAGTAGGGTGAAATTTCAAGTGTAAAGTGACTATCAAGTCATTCGAGTTACTTTTTATTCGCATAGAGCAAATTCTCCACTCTAAATCGGCGAGTGAATATTTTCACTCGAAATTGAGAAGCCAATATTCTGCACTGTCGGAGGAACTTATTCACTTTAATCGGTTGAAACCTTCGCTCATATGAAGTCAGCATCCACTTTAAGCTTGAGTGAAATATTTACTCTTGCGATGGCAATATTACCTTGAGTGGCAATATTTTCATTATTGCTTCGAGCGAAAATATTGCACAACAAGTAAGACTTGTACTGAAAACGAAATTATGGTTAGACAGAAAATGAAATTATGGTTAGAATATTTTTTTTTTGATTTTAGAAGAATCCTATAGAATCCTGTAGAATTCAGAGAATTTTGTTAAGAGTGAGATTATATATATATTTTTTTGGAGTAATTAGAGGAAGATGTTCTGGTTTAGATAGCCGAAAAATAGGTTTTAATTTTTCAAAAATTTCAATTCTTTATATTCTTAAAGTATAACAGTACAGTGATTAGTAATATGGTTAAAAATCTTATATTAATATTTTTATTCATAAAAAGTAATATGGTTAAAATCTTATATTGATATCTTTATTCATAAAAATGGAAAAGAAAGACCTACTATTTTTCGACTATCTAAGTCAGAACCTCTGCTTAATATGACATACTGAAAGAAGGAAATGAATGAAAGAATGTTACCTTGTCCGTCGCGTCGAGTACGATATGTGGTATGTTAGACAGTGCTGTTATAACAGCAGGATGCCCCGCAACAGCTGCGTGGTGAAGAGCAGTTGCACCGGTGCAGTCGGTGGCCTCACCGTTTAACGATTCCACAGCTTCCGCGAGGTATTCCACCACGCCTACGTTGCTGCCACGAGCACCACACATTAAGAGGGTGTATTGTTTCTAACCAGAAAGAAATCTCTTGTTTATGCTCGCTGCCAGCTTGGGAGGTAGGGGGAAGGCTTTGCGAGGGAAGCTCTCGCGATTGGCATTATACGGTTGCACGCAACGTTTCCCGCAATTTCAATCCGCGAATAACTCGTTCCGTCGCTTATCGGCTCTCTAAAGCCGCGCATTTTACTTCCTCGCTCTGTAAAACGTTAACGATCCGGTGCGCGTAATAAAATTCTGTAGGAATCGCACCGACAAGCATAAAGAGAGAGCGCGCATACAAGCGTCATTATTCGGGACTCAATATCAATATTGACACGTTATCGATTTCAATTTCGCCGCGGTTTCTTCTTACCGACTCGTTTCACTTTTTTCCACGAGCTCCGCGAGATTTTATTTGGAATATTTTCTCCCTTCGACACTCGTGGTCGATAAATTCCAATTAAATACACGACGATTTAATCTCGCGCAACCATGTTTCGTAAGTTCCCGTTGAGAACGAGGAATTTTCGTGTTACTTAATGATAGACTGTTCGCCGCTTCTCGGACGGCTCCGTCGTTGAGAAAAATGTTGTACATGATTTCGTGTATGATTAGCGAACGAAATTTCGTGACGGGTCTTATTCTCGGAATCCTCATTGAGGAGTACCTGGAGTGTTCGATAAGGCGATTGTTAAAACGTGATCGATGTACCTTGTTAACTGCGGATACATTTGCCCCAGCGTTTATCAACATCTTCACCGCGTCCTGGTGTCCGTGTTGGGCGGCCATATGTAAAGGACGCATTCCATACTTGAAAGAGAAATTCACAGCTCGGAGATTAATGTTCCACGTGGAATTTCATCAAGTCCGTAGATACGGTCAAATTAAATTCCGTAAGAAGCAATGCTACGGAAACATGTAAATGTAATAGCTGTTTGTCAGGCCTACTTTTTTACTTCCTATTACAGAAACGCTTTTAACGAAATTAATTATGATTCTTAATTAATTATTTTCCAAATCACATTACGTAAAAAAATATTTGTTTAAGTACAAACTTTTAACTTATGAGAGATGCTTAAAATTATTATTTTAAAACGTATGTTCGATTTTAATCATTTGTAGATAAAAATTCCACGTAAAAAAGTCACTCGCTCGCAGTAGGTTGTCTACGTATATCTACATATATCTCCAAAATAATGAAAAAATTTTGAAAAAAATTAGAGATTAATCTATTGCATCTGTGTAAAAGTGATCAATTTGATACTGATTCAGAGTGCGGATCGAAAGTTAAATGCAAGCTTGAAATCCAGCAAATATGATACCGTTAAATGACGTTTTAATAACACATTAATGCGTCTCTAATATCAATTTTTGTGTACACGTATTTTAGTGTTCAAAATGAATGCAAAAATTAAAAAACCAGAAATGAAATAGAAAATAAATAAGTTATAAAAATATGATGTTATATATATAAAAATATATCGTTACTTAATTGTATCGTATACATATACCACATGTTTTTATACCACACATACCACATATACTACACGAAAAATAAAAATATTTCTAATTTTCAGTGACTTTTTGCAGGGACTATATGAGATACATTTTTAAGGATTAAAAGATTCCGTTCATTTTTAATACGTAGGATCGTTGACTTCTTCCTTTCGGACGTTTCATTTCTACTCCCGTTGCTTGTAACAACTTAAAATTAGTTCACAGGCGATATTCAACGTAATTGATTCGATGCCATACCTTATCTTTCGCCTCGATGTCGCATTTGGCTTGTATCAACATTTCAATAATTTCCGTGTTTCCCCTAGATGCTGCCCAATGAATCGGAGCACGACCATACTGAGGACAGTCAACGTAGTCACTGTTCTACTAATTTACGTAATTTTTCTGACAACTTACATTATTTCTCGAATCTACGTCGACAGTCTCCTTAAGTACTTTGCGAACGGTGTCCGCTTCGTTCTTTATCACAGCCTCGTGTAGGAGAAGATCATTCTTAAGAACTGGCGAGAAAAAGACAGATAATACTTTCTGAAATACGATATCATATATAAAGAGCAATAATGAAATATAGTATTCTTTTTCTCTTTAAATCTGTCACGCGAAACTGACAAATCGATTGTTTCACAGAATTATTGAAATATTGCGCGCATACTCGTCATAAAATGAGAAAAATTTTGTTTCATGAATATTGATGCTTTTGCTTCAACATTGCAAAAGTCATTTTTTTTCTGCGTGTACATATTGCATAATATTATAATATTTCAATTGGTCGCTGCTGGCGCTTATAAAAATAGAATTTCGAGCGGGAAAACGAGGAAAAATATGGATTGTATTAATTTGTTTCGGGCTTTGCGCGTTTTAACTTCCGACAGTTACGCTGTAGTGCACACGTGCTGTCGTTACCGCTGCACATCGTTTTTTATAATTTCGGGCCGCGCTGTATCGATCGCGCGTGCAATTCGAGGCGGCAGGCAGGCAGGCAGGCAGGCAGACAGGAAGGAAGGAAGGAAGGAAGGAAGGAAGGACATTTGGAACGCAACACGAGAACACGGTGTATCGTTAATTACTTGAATGGCTAATTTTGCGGATGTTGACGCAAATTGAACATTCGTCACTTCAGCGCGGCTGCATCTTGCTCTGCGTGCAAAAAAAACCTTTTATCAGCGAGACAGACAAACGCGCAAAAAATTACCATCGCAGACAGCCGATGCAGTTTTCCTTGTTTTTCCTCCATGATAAAAACAATCATGTGCCGCGGGAAGAATACGTGACAGATGTTTTGCAGAAATTACTACATCGGCTGGCGAAAAGGCTCATTTGATCCCAAGAAATTGCCCCGGGAGGTCGCCAGATAAGCCGAAAACACATCGGTCCAAGGAGAATTCAAGCGATTCATGCAAACGCGCACGTATGAGAGCTTTTCCAAGTGCGGCAGAAATCTCGCGAAAGCGGGAAGCGCAAATTTCACTCTCGCGTCGTGTATGTGTGTGTGTGTGTATTCGCGTTTTCGTCGAAATTGCCGTGACATCTTTAAATCTTCGCACATTCCGCGGCGCGCGCACACACACACACGCATACACACATACATAGACACAACCCGACGAGGTAGTTTGTACTTTACTCACTTCTAGCAGTCTTTTGGTTCAGTACTTCATCCTCGATTGCCTCGCTGAGGTTCAACGGCGGTGGCGGCGCCCTCGCCTTCGTTATGCTCAACTCTTTCTTGTCCACCATCTTTCACTGCCCTTGCTCCGAGCGTTGCATTGTCATCGGCTTCGTGGTCTTCTTTCGGTCGTTAGGCGACGTTAATGCACCCAGGTTGCAGCGACTACTAATTATCGACGACCTAGAAAGCCGAACGACACTGAGCGACGTATAACCACAGAGATTGCGATAGAAATCGTTAGATGATTATCAAGATCATTAGATTAAAATAAACCGAAGAATGCACTATTAAGTAATTAGGATATGGTAGTGAGGGGAAATTAATATTAATATTAGAAATTGGGATTCGCGATTTGACGTGGAAAATAGATTCCGGTATGTTACAAAACTCCGGGAAACTCTATTCGAAAAGTTAACTCCAAATATTAAAACATTCATTGCAACACCACCGTTTGATTTGTTTTATGTATTATTAATTTAATTGCATACTTCGATGGTCTGTTTATATATGGTGAAGGTCTTAATTTTCTAGTGATCAAGTTATTTCATCGTGAAAACATATTAATCAATTAATTAATGTACGTTCAGCTAAGTATATATTGATTTTACTGAAAAGCAAGAACATTTGGAGCTTTAATTATGATATGTTTGTTTAATTTATTTATATGGAAAGATTTTACTTCATTTATAATATTTTCTCAAAAGTGGCTGAGATGTACAATATTTAGTCACATGACAGCTTAGTTTTGTTCTAATTTGTGACATAAGGTCAACGATCCAATTAGTGATAAAGTCGCGAAAATAAAGAAATACATAAATTTATAATAATAAGAGAGAGTAATCATTATTTGAATATCACAAGTTGGTACAGTGTCAGTGTGAATGCGTTATCAATCTATTATCAATCTATTATTAATTTAAATATAATATTTTATAGGCTAATGACTCATTTGGATAAAAATTTGGATAACAATCCCAGAGGGACAAGTTATGATATTAATGTTATTTCTTAACGCTGTAACGAATAAGATTTAAACAACATGTTCTTTTTATTAAAAATAGGAATCTTTATATCGTTTTATGTTATATTTATTCACGTTGTCATTAATGAGGATAAAGAAATATTCTAGTATCAATTAGGGATCTATTTGAATCTATTTGATCTATTTGAATTAACTGTGAAAGTTATGAAATTACATAATTTGTTATTTTCTCTACTTATGAAATATTCTTTAATCTACTCTCAACTTTAACTTTTCAATCGCTCCAAGTTAAAGAATAACTGCACAGATTTAACAAATAGATGTGTGATTTAACTGTCAACTTTTAAGATATCGGAGCGAGTAACTACTCGAACTGTCGGCGTCAGCAGTATGCTTGTAAAATTATGATGTTCCAGTATCATGACTTTTATCCGAAATTTGTTATAACTGATAATATATAAAATTTAGAGTAAGAACACATGTTTAAAATAAATATAGACCTGTATTAACGGATTTATTAAGAAAAACGGATGCGATTGTCACAAATAGGGTCAACGCGGTTCTTAATTGGGACATTCACCTGATAGTATAGAAATCGTTAAGCTAAGCGACACTCGAGTCGTGCAGCACGTTCGAGGTAAATAAAGAACGATCCAAGAGCCGTTATCGGTGGCGTTCGCGACAAAAATATCAACTCAATTCTGAGTTTGTCGATTCACTACAGCGATAAAATATGACGAGGGCAGTTGATATGCCGTTATATATTGACAATATTGCGCATTATCAATTAGTCTCATTTAACATTTATCAGAAAGCACGCTGACTACTTGTCGTATTAATTGAAGCCCCGAATGGGATCACGATCTATTGGGAGAGAATCGCATATGTATTTACTGCAATTACAGTCCATAATAATCCGACGGGATAAATCAACGACCGGCGAATGAATCGTGCGCGTTTTCTCGTTCTATATTTCAAGTTGTATGGCTTCACAATTTCGCGTTTCATTGCAGCGAAATCTATTACACGTGCAGTCAGCGAAGCGCGCGGTTACAGTATGGTGAAATGAGTTATAGATATTTCGAAGCTTGGTTAGCGGCGTAATATTTAATTTGTGGATGGTAATTAATTTATTCGCAGAGTTCCGCAATTTTCCGAATTACATCGGGTTTATTTTATGACTTTGAGGATTAATTTCTCAAATTGGACTACATACCGCGAATTATAACACGATTTTTCGCGCTCCAAAGCGCTTTGTAACATACATGTTTCAATAAGATGATATGTTATACGGATACTGATTGATATTGCAGTGGATGGAGAATACTTTAACGGTGGGAGCTTGTATGCGCACAGACTGACAGATGCATATGTTTTAGCACGTAGCCGTAGTGATTATGACTGTTTTCAACAGTGTGCACGGTAAACTTAATAATATAAGCGTTAAAGACTCTGGATAGTTTATAGATATGATTTAAAGAAGTCCTTTTGGATTTTTTTTACAAAGAGATTACAAGACATTTTTTTACTGTTCAATATATTTTCTTAGGCTTTGAAGTAGTTACATATTTTTTTGCGAAATTTAAATTCGCATGTTTACAAACACATGTCTAACACGGGTGGTCTCAGTTAAAACGCGAAAAACGATTATTTTTTTATCGATTTTTGAACATTATGTAATATTAATGGATATTCTCGTGCAATAGTATCAAAGCTATACATACTTAATTATATTTGTAAACATTTAGTCCAGATTTGTCAAGCATTTTCGTATTGTATTAACCGTTACTTTTTAATAATATCGTTACGGACCAATTGTCTCAAGTGAAATTATATAGCGCACATTTAACGACTGTGGAGTTTATTTATTGTACAATAGCGCTTGTTTATTTTGCTCTTGTTATACGGGACAATAAACACAAACCGACGTAGCGGTAGAAATGTTCAAAATTAATGCAGACCTGTCGACAAATCTGACAAAAAGAAGGCCCTGAGTTTGTATGTTTATTACACACACATCGCTAATTAATCTATTTATATATACATCTTTAGTTTGTATTTACACAGTGACTTGCAAAACGGTTTAGACACAATGAAGTTGGGAACTCATCAAACTGTCAAAATTGACACTGGTCTCTGACGGACTTGCTTGGTAAAATTACATTATTAATTATTATTATTAATATTAATATTAATTGTTATTATTACTTATTTTATTATTTATTACTTCTAATTATATTACTAATTATATTATTATTGTGTAAATTTGTCCGTAATGATTCCCAATTTTGACAGTTTGATTAGCTGTTAACTTGACATACTGTGTTTCTCCCCCTCCATTTAGTAACTCACTGTAAAAAATAGCATAATTATAAACAGATGTTAAAAAACAGACAGATGTTCTAAAGAAGATGCAGACGGCTATAATTAATATTATTGTAAATGCCATTGGCCATTTTGACGTCCCATTTCAAAAATACTTTGGTAGATTTTGAAAATGGTATCATTCCTAAGCTTCGTGGTACGAAACGGATACAAACAAACGAAGTACGAACTAACTGGATTAAAAGAACGTTTTTGTTCCAGTCAGACTTGCATCAGCATGTCCAAATTTCTTTTTCATTAGTCAGCTGCAGCATAACAGGAGAGAAACTTGGATCGTTGTGTTGTTTCGTGTTCTTTCACATCAGACTCGAATTGCAAGGCTCGGATAGTGAGTGCAAATTATATGTATTTAACGCTACTTGGTATCACTCGTGCGAACATATTAAATTAATTTGCTTGATTGAGTTAGTTTTCGTGTTGCATGGTTTCATCGTGCTTGCAGCGGCACCAGAGCGGCAGCATCTCATAAATCCAACAATATTCTACAGCGAAGCCGAGTCACAAATCCCTCCGTGGCATCTCGGAATCCAAATCGCGCTTAAACGGGAACAGAGATTACATGAAAGATTTGAGGTATCCGTGTCGATTATAGATTGCAGGTTGTTATAACAGGGCTATTCAATATTTGTACTATTTGATAATGTGCTATTGGACGTTGCCGAAAAAAAAGAGAAAAGCAAGTTTTTTTGTTTTTTTAAAAGCAAGCTCTTCTCTCTTTTTCTCTGTCTTTTACTTTTTTTTCATTACACTCGACATTGTTCATTTCGTTTTCCTAAAACAAATGTAGCTTAATATATCGCCCTGCACCGTACATTTTGCGATTTCCTACATCAGAGTGCGTTTTCAACTATTACTTGTATCGTTTCGTTAATAATACAATAACAAGGACGATGTTTCCGTTTTCTGATCATCCACTGCAGCAACCTGCGTTCATCTACCGGGGAAGTAAATTCTATATTACGTGCACGATGTGAGTTTCATATAAAATTAAGTGAAACATCGTAAATTACTGTTGTAGATTTCAGCATAATAATAATAATAATGCCTAGGTTGTTGTTACATCCCGTCTGCAATATAGGTGCAGTTATTCAATTAGCAAAAAAGGCAACGAGAGCAACATCTAGTAAATGCAGTCGCACATCTTTATCATCAAGAGAGAAAGAGAGAGAGGGGGGGGGAGGGAGAGGGTAGAAGGAAGAGAGATTGAATCACGCTGTCTCATAATATATTGTCTTTACCCGCCACCATTTTTCATATTTTTCTGCCATAGACGATAAGTCGACATTTTTCTCTCAGGAACCAGACTGGGTAGCGACGACGTTAGCTTCTAAAGAAAATTTCACACCTCCTCGCTTCCAGAGGGATATACTCCTCGAAACTTTCTGACGTTTTTGTCTTATTGGATCTTCATTCTGCTACGTCGTGTCGAAAATCTCGTTGCTGCTGCTGCATTTATGCAGTTTCCATTAGAAAAGCGTATTGTATGTATTCTTTGTGACACAGGAATTATAATAAGAGTCGTAATCGCTCTCGGAAACTCCCTCGGGAGGAAAAGGGAAATGGCAGAGAATTTTACGAGGTTGCAGAGTTCTGCGTTATGTAAAGTCCTCTGCCATTCCTGCGTGTATAATCGTATCGTCTTGCATTGTTCATATCTGCAGAGATAGTAAGGTTCACTCTTTAAATATGAAACTGTATCTGAAGTGGATTTTATAAATCGTCAGCTTGTTTTAAGGTTCTTGCCCTGAATATCTTATTGAACGACAGCGGTAAAGTTTTGGATAGAAGAATCGCGTCGTATTAATTTCGCGTG